ACTCTGAATTTCATCCTCTGAGGGTGTGTGAGGGGACTCTTGGTAGCATCCGTTGTAGTAGCTAAGACTGTCTTTTTCTCGAAGCCTCAGGCTCGCCCTTGCGTCTGGGGAATCTGAGAGCAAACTGGCCACCTGCTTTCGTGTATGCAGGTTCTGTGATGTTTCCTTTAACAGTCAGGCTTATGGAGATGAAAAGGAGGTCAGTTTAAGAAAACAAGTGATGTAATTGCGGTGTGCAGAGATGGCAAAGCATCTTGGAGGTGCTTGTGAAATCACTGAGCCCAGGAAATGCAGCTCTGCTTTTTGATGGGGATCCCAAGTGTGGCCGGACGGTCTGGGGTTTGTCCTGTGTGCCTTCTCCCTTGCTCCCTGTCCCTTTCTCCCTTTCTTCGTTTGCTCATTCCGCAAACACTGCCCACTATGTGCTGGCTGCTGTGCTGGTTCCTGACGAGGTGAACTGGTCATGAGCTCCAGTGAGAATTTGTGAAGACAGAGCTGAGTGTTCTCACTTTGTGTGGAGGCCAAAGTTGATCTCAAAGGAGTGGAAAGTAGAATTTTGATTACCAAGCCTGGGAAGACTGTGGGAAAGGAGGGGGATGTCTAGCAGATGGTTAACAGGTACAGGGGTGCAGGTGAACAGGAGGAGAACCTTCTAATGTTCTGTAACACGTGAAGCCAACTTACTATGCTTGACAGCGATCAGTTGACTAATAGGACTAGTAGCTAATAGGACTGTGTGTGTGGTACAGGTGACTGAACCCAGGGCTGTATGCATGCTAGGCAAGTACTCTGCCACCAAGCTATACCTCCAGCCCTTTCTACTTGGAGACAGGATTTTTACATAGTCCCAGGCCAGCCTTGAACTTGAGATCCTTCTGCCTCAGCCTCCTGCATAACTAGGATCATGGGGGTGACCTCTGTGCCAGCCCACCCGTCTCTGCACATCTTCCTGGCGATGCTTTTGCCAGCCTGCAGATCACATGCACTGGTTTAACATGCAGTGGTTCCTCGGACTCAGTCTTGGAGAGAACAAGTATAAGGTGATTGACCAGGAATCAAAGTGACCCATTTTAGAGATGCTATGGCTGTGTGCCCTCCATAAATGAAGTTTCACGAGGGCCAGAATGTTCAGAGTTGTTTTCAGTCGAGCTGCTCATTATTTCCACACCCCGATGCCATTTCCCCTCATCAGCGTGGTTGATTTTTGTGGGGGGGTACTGGGGATCAAACTCAGGTCTTTGCGCTTGCAAGACAGGCGGCAGAACTACTGAGCTAAATCCCCGGCCTGCTTGGTTGATTCTTTTTTTTTTTTCTTTTTATTGAGTTTATTGGTACAATCTAGGTATACAATACAATTACATTCATCATTGGGATTCTGTACCTTTACATAATAGGTCTTGATTCTCATTTTTCCCCTTGTCCCTGCCCTCCCTTCACCCCCTCTTCCCCTCCCCATTTACAAACACTTTATTTCCATTTTTTCAGTTTCTCATATTTTTTTCCTCTCCCTTATTACCTTTCCCCCACCCTTCCCACTTTCCTTACACCTTTAGCCCTTTACTTCCTATTTCACATTATTAATTGTCTCATTAGGATCCTGTGTACTATTATAGTTTTTCACACCAAAGAAACTATTCGGTATTTCAGTTAAAGAAATCTCTGTATGAACATTAAAAATAGGGAATCCTAAAATAAAACTAAAAAGGAAAGTAAAAGAGAAAAGGCAATGATGTAACATCAAAATAATCCTTAATTCTGGAGATGAAAATGGTCCCTGAACATATTTAAATTGCTTCTCGCTCTTATAGTCTTATCTTATTCTTTTTTTCATTATTTAGAGAATACTTTATTAGTTTCTGTAATCAAACCCATGTAGATATGACCTTACATATTTAGTACGATGTGTTACCCCTGCACACATGGAAAAAAAAATAAATTAACATTTCTAGACCAATATGGTTGTCCATTTCTGTACAATGCCAAGTCAACACAGTAAATTGGGATGACTTTTTCCGAAGTTGGCGGCACCGTTAAAGTTTCCCAAAATTCAATTTATATGTGTGTGTGTGTGTGTGTGTGTGTGTGTATATTTATATATATATGTATACATATATATATTCGTATATATATACATATATATATAGACTAATAATAGTATGTTATGCATCGATAGCAGCAACAGCTTTTCCAGGTTCTGCAGTCATCTGAGCAAAATTATAGACATTCAGCA